TAGACGTGCGGTTCCACGTAAGTACCGAAATACGGTCTTGATGGCCGTCCAGTGTTCGGGTGTGGGACTGGCAGAGAAGTGTGCGAGGTATCCGACAGCGTAGGAAATGTCCGGGCGAGTACCGGTGGCGGCGTACAGGAGGCATCCAATAGCCTGCATGTAGCGTGTCCGAGCAGTTTTGGATGTTTCCGCGAGCGAATGTTCGAGCTGTCGGTTCGGGGCCATGGGCGTGGAGGCGGGGCTGCTGTCTGACATGCCAAATCTGCGGAGGATGCTCGTGATGTACGCCTCTTGCGACAGGATGATGGACTTGTCGGCCTGTCGCTTGATCTGGATCCCCAAGATGTACTGGGCTGGGCCAAGTCGCTTGATGCCGCATTTTTGCTCCAGGCCGTTGAGGATGCGCTCAATCTCGTCCTCCGAGGGGCTGACCATCAGCAAGTCGTCGACGTAGAGGGCGATGTAGTGGTAGTGGTCGCCGTCGCGTCGTACGTACACGCAGTGGTCCTTGGCTGTGGCGCGGTAGTGGAGGCTTTTCAGCGTCAAGTCAATGTATGAGACGATCACCACTACTGTCAGGAGAGGTTGAGAGTCGAACAGAAGTGATCTATTTCAGCGTACCTATGAGACGATCACCACTACTGTCAGGAGAGGTTGAGAGTCGAACAGAAGTGATGAGAAGGAAGCTAAGAAACAGAAAGGGGGCCACACTGGGATAGGCCCAGGCGCGTGACAATGTACATCCCTAAGTCAGCCGCGGGTGAAATTGCCGGCGCGCCTAAGTCCCCACCGCCGGGGGGCGGGCTAGCAAGTGCGCGCAACGACCGAGGCGCCCCTGTTGAGCTGAGAGTGGACTCTTCACACAATGTGCTCGTTCCAGACTCGGCCGGCCTGCTTGAGGCCGTAGATCGATCGATGGAGCTTGAGGACTTTACCGGGCATGTCAACACCTTGTGGGACGCGCATGTAGAGGTCTTCCTTCAGCTCACCGTGGAGGTACGCCTTGTCAATGTCGGCCTGATGGACGTGGAGTTTCTTGGCGGCGGCCAGGGCGATGAGAGCTCGGATGGAGGTGAACTTGGCAACAGGGGCAAAAGTCTCGTCGTAATCGATACCTGGGCGCTGGGAGAATCCCTGTGCAACGAGCCGGCCCTTGTGCGAAGTGATCTTGCCAAGTTGGTCGCGTTTGGTGCGGAAGATGAACCTGGATCCGAGGACTTTGGCGCCAGGGGGCAGTGAGGAGGAGTCAACAGGGGTGAAGCATTTGTACTCGGTGGCAAGGGAGTGAAACTCGTCGGCTGCTGCTTGCCTCCAGATCTCCTCTTTACCTGACTTGACCGCCTGCGACCAATTCTGGGGGTCCTCGGTTGGCCCTTCGAGTTCGACGACCGGTGAATCTGCAGTGGTGGCGGCAAAGGCAGCGGCGCGAGACGGGCATGACAGGAAGTCGATGGGGTCGGCCGAGTCATCGGTCACGTCCGACGCAGGGGGTGACAGCGAGAACTGAGCCATGGACATGTCGGACGGGGTATCAAAACCATCATCGGACATTTCGATTGTTGCGTCGTCGCTTGCGTCGGTCTCAAGTGCGGCAAATCGATTTTCGTGCACGACGGGCGGGAGTGACAGACGTGGGACAGTGCGGGAGCCATGTGCAGCGTCAACGAAGGTCCAGTCGCCAGCAGTGGACGTCGCGCGAGGCTTTGGTTGGCCAGTCGGGGCATCTCGAGCGGGAAAGACGTTCTCATCGAATCTGACGTCGCGGCTCTGGAAGAACGAAGTTGTTTCTGGGTCGTACAGCGTCCAGGCCTTGGTTTTGTTTTCGATGCCGACGAAGATGAATGGTTTGGCCTTGGGGTCGAGTTTTGCCCGCTTGTGCCGAGGGGTGGTGTGCCAGGCGCGGCAGCCGAATGCTCTCAGGTTTGCCATGCTGGGAGGTTTGCCATACCAGATAGTGTCCGGGATTTTGTGATCGATGGCGCTGTGCGGGCTGAGGTTTTTGGTGTCAACAACGTACCGGAGGGCCTCGCGCCAGAGTGTCATGGGCAGTCCCGAGTGCTGGAGCAGAGCAATCGTCCCCTCGATGATTGTGCGGTTCGTCCGTTCGGCTCGGCCGTTTTGCTCCGGGGTGTAAGGGATCGTGAGTTGCCTGGTAATGCCGTGATGAGAGCAGTACTCGATGAAGGCTTTGGACGTATATTCACCGCCGTTGTCCGTTCGTAACGTGCGGAGCTTGAGGCCCGTTGAGCGCTCGATCATGGCGTGCCAACGCTGGAAGGTGTCGAAGACCTGACTCTTGTTCCTCAGCGCGCTGACCCACGTCTTCCGGGAGAAATCGTCGATGAAGGTGACAACGTATCGTTCCCCATCGGTGGCGGGTTCGGGCAGAGTGAGGACGTCGGAGTGGACCAGTTCGAGTGGTTGCGAAGCGCGAGAGTCCGACGTTGGGAAAGGTGTCCTTGTTGCTTTGGCGGCTTTGCAGGTGTCGCAGGAGAAGGCCTTGCATTCGGCCGCCGAGTACGTCCATGTCTGACCTTGGAGTTGACCCGACGATACTGCCCTTCGCAGGTTGGGTGACAGGCAACGTCGGAGGGGATGACAATGACTACATGCGAGAGACGAGGGAGAGAGCGAGAGAGCGCGCGAAAGCGCGAAGAAGCGAAAGGGGTGTCGACCGAGGCGGCGGCAGTCGACCGAGAGGCAACCGCGGAGGATACGCGGCTGCAAGGCTCGCAGCAAGTCCAGTGTACCGAACTATGGTGGCCAACGAGCTCGGACAGAAGAGGGAGGGCAAACGATCCAAGAAATAGCTGACCAAGCCGATGGGAAGGTCGAGTCGGCTGGGCGGCGGCAGTCGACCGAGAGCAACGAGGAGTGGATTCGGTCGGAAGGCTTCGCAGCAAATCAAGTGTAACGGACTTAATTGCCAGCGAAATGGGTAAAAAGAGGGAGGGTACGAGTCTAGAAGAGTTGACCAAGCTCTGGGGGAAAGGTGGCAAAAGCAAAGGGAGGGAAGTGCTCCGAGCGAAGGAAAGACTGAGTCAAATAACTACACCACGAGGTCGCTTCAGGGGTAAAAAGGATTGCCCGCCAGGCACCGGTAAAAACCCCGAAGCCGGGCCTCGGATAACAAAAAGGGAAAAGAAACCAAAAGGCAGATCACGCTCCGGGCGGATCGAACCCTCGACCACTGAGTGCGCGCCCACGCGCCCTCACGACTACGCCATCGCGCCGACAATGCTTGCAACGAACAAACCGGTAGCTGATGTCGACTCCGGCCGCAAACTTGGGAGACTTCCTTCGAGTATTGATGGCAGTGCAGGCTGTGATCCTGACAGAAGTCTACCGTGCGGCGAGGCGGCGGTTCGAGCGATCGAGGCGCGCGAGGTAGGCGTCGAGGACGGACGGATGGTCAAGGCGAATGGACTGCTCTGACATCCAAGTATCGTCGGTGTCGTTACGGCCTACCCATCGAACCAAGAATGAACGAGCGCCCCGAGCGTTCCGCCGATCGCGAACAATCCATTCCGGAATCGCAGAATTGTCGGCCGCGTCGGCTACGTCTTCGACAAAAAGAACTGCGGGGTCACGCCCAGGAAACCTTTCAGCATCATTCTCAACGCAAGGCCGAAGCAGTCGAGCATGGAAACGATTGTGCACTCGCGACATCGCTGGAGGGAGCTCGAGGTCGTAGCTGGATGTCGCAGGGATGGCCGCTCGGATACGGAAGGGGCCGATGTAGCGCGGCAACAACTTCGACTTCATTGTTGAATTCCATACACTCTTGCTTAGGTCGATCTCCAGCCCGCGCCCAGCCTAGCCAGCCGCGCGCCGCTCGGACCCCTTTTGGACTTAGAGATATTTCGCGCACTCGCACCGCGAGCCTCTTTAGTCTTCCCCCTAACGCTCCAAACTACTTCCTAACACTCGTACTGTGTCTCGTGTACTCACTGGTTGCCGATCCAGTCCCCTCTCGAGACACACGACTTAACAGGTTATGAGCCCAACGAGCTACCAGCTGCCCGAGCTAAAGCTGCTACAACGATGCCTTCACCACCATCGTCACTTGCCACCATCATGATCGCGTTCGTCATCATCATCGCTCTGTACCACACCGTTAAAACCGCCCTCGCCCATGCGACCGGCCGTTACCACACCATGACGCAACTTGACACGTCGCACCTGGACCCGACTGTGAGCGTGACAGTCCGGCCCAGCGTGAACGTCGTCGCACTCCTAGGTCGTCTACCATTGAACCGTGAGCTCCACCTTCCAAATGACACCCTTGTACTCGACTCGGGCGCCTCCCACCACATGGTCAAGGACGCGTCTCTCTTCGACGCCTGGCACACACGGTCACACGTCGCCGTCGATGGCGCTGGTGGGTCACTCATGGCACAAGGCTGTTGAATTTCATTCTACTACAAGCGTTCGAACACTTCAACCTTGGGCCGCCGTTGTCAGGTCCGCCCATTTTCTGTCAGGATCACAGCCTGCACTGCCATCAATACTCGAAGGAAGTCTCCCAAGTTTGCGGCCGGAGTCGAAATCAGCTACCGGTTTGTTCGTTGCAAGCATTGTCGCGCGATGGCGTAGTCGTGAGGGCGCGTGGCGCGCACTCATGGTCGAGGGTTCGATCCGCCGGAGCGTGATCTGCCTTTTGGTTTCTTTTCCCTTTTTGTATCCGAGGCCCGGCTTCGGGGTTTTTACCGGTGCCTGGCGGGCAATCCTTTTTACCCCTGAAGCGACCTCGTGGTGTAGTTATTTGACTCAGTCTTTCCTTCGCTCGGAGCACTTCCCTCCCTTTGCTTTTGCCACCTTCCCCAGAGCTTGGTCAACTCTTCTAGACTCGTAACCCTCCCTCTTTTTACCTATTTCGCTGGCAATTAAGTCCGTTACACTTGATTTGCTGCGAAGCCTTCCGACCGAATCCACTCCTCGGTTGCTCTCGGTCGACTGCCGCCGCCCAGCCGACTCGACCTTCCCATCGGCTTGGTCAGCTATTTCTTGATCGTTTGCCCTCCCTCTTCTGTCCGAGCTCGTTGGCCACCATAGTTCGGTACACTGGACTTGCTGCGAGCCTTGCAGCCGCGTATCCTCCGCGGTTGCCTCTCGGTCGACTGCCGCCGCCTCGGTCGACACCCCTTTCCGCTTCTTCGCGCTTTCGCGCGCTCTCTCGCTCTCTCCCTCGTCTCTCGCGTGTAGTCATCGTCATCTCCTCCGACGTTGCCTGTCACCTGATGGTCGGTGACGATGACGAAGGGGTAACCGATCAAGTGCTGCTCGAACGCCCGACACGCCGAGACGACAGCCAAGAACTCTTTATCAGTGACATGATAGTTGAGCTGAGCACCGTTGAACTTAGCGGAAAAGAATCGCGTTGGAACGGCCTGCGAACGGTTGGGCCCGGACGCCAAACAAGCGCCAATGCCAACCGACTGGCATCCGTGAAGAGGTACATCTTGTGAAGAGTCCACTCTCAGCTCGACAGGGGCGCCTCGGTCGTTGCGCGCACTTGCTAGCCCGCCCCCGGCGGTGGGGACTTAGACGCGCGCGACTGCCTCAGCGCGCCAGCGCCGGCGGATTCATGCGCGCGCCCGCTAGCCCGCCCCCTTGCGGTGGGGACTTAGGCGCGCCGGCAATTTCACCCGCGGCTGACTTAGGGATGTACATTGTCACGCGCCTGGGCCTATCCCAGCGTGGCCCCCCCCTTTCTGTTTCTTAGCTTCCTTCTCATCACTTCTGTTCGACTCTCAACCTCTCCTGACAGTAGTGGTGAACGTCTCATAGGTTATAAGCCCACGAGCCACCAGCTGGCATGACCACGACACCACCCCTCGCGACGGGTGCCAACCCTCCGATTCCCGCCGAACAGCTCGCCGCACTTACATCGCTGCTGTCGGGTCTCACCGCTGCCGCTTCCGGCACTGCCACACCCCGCCACGACGTCCGGCACCACTCGCACTGCCTTTCCAAAGCACGCACGCTTGGATGGTGCGAAGACCTTCGCGAACTGGACACGCCAACTTCGCCTGTGCCTAGCGGACGACATCCGCTCGTACGTCCTCGACGGTATCGCACCCGACGACTGGACACCTTCGCAACGCTCCGCTCGCGACGCCGTCGCTCGTGAGGTCCTTGCGAATTCGATTGACTCGGCCGAAGTCTCGGCAGTCCTCGACAAAATCCCTACCGCCGACCTGACAGCGCCGACAATCTACTCGACGCTGAAATCGCGGTACGCCCCTGACGACGCCACCCGCACGCTCGAGCTCTTCTCACGACTCTGGGGTTTCCGTCCCATGCCCGGCACGGTTGCCGAATTCGACGGGTGGATCATGGACTTCAAAGCCGTTGCGCAAGAGATCATCGACACAAAGACAACTATCAATGATGTTTCTGCCACACTCCTCCTTGCAATCGCCCACCCGTCCCTCGAGAGCTTCAAGGCGTCGTTCACCGATGAACAGCGCACGCAACGAACTCTCCCCGACATTGATTCGCTTGCCGACCGTATGCGAGTCCAACTTCGGTCAACGAACATCCCCAGCACTCAATCGGCCCTTCTTGCCTCGTCGTCGTCACGTTCTACTCGTCTCAAGTGTCTCGCCTGTCGCAGCCCTTCGCACCGAGTCGCGGAGTGCCCTACGAGGGCGCAACACCCGCCGCCAGGACCCTGTCGCTCCTGCAAGAAGAAGGATCACTGGTCTCTCGACTGCAAGAAGGCGCTCGAGGACGGCAAAAAGCCCGACACCGCTGACTCGACCGTCGACTCGCAACACCATGTCGGATGTCTCGCCACCGGTCTTCTCGCTCGTCGTCGCCAGCTTTCGCAACCACTCTTTTGTCGTCGACTCGGCGCCACTTCGCACATGGTCTCGGACAAGTCGCTGTTCACGACCTATCGCCATATCGCTCCTACGAAGATTGGTGGTATTGCAGGGGGCATCAACGCCATCGGAACGGGAAACATCGCCTTCATTGCCGCCTCGGGTCATCCGATCACGCTTACCGGCGTGCTGCACACTCCGGGCTGTTTGTCAATCTTCTCTCGGTCTCTCGACTTTGCGACACCGACGATGTCCGTGTCGCCTTCACAAAACACGGCATCCCACATTGACAAGGACGGCAACGACATCGCTGAAGGCGCACGACTCGACGAAGGGCTCTACTTGCTGGACGCTGATCATTCCAAATGTCAGCACCTTGCTCTCCTTTCTCGCTCACAGTCGTCCGTGCCCCTGCTGACTCTCCATCGCTGCCTCGGCCATCTCGCACCGTCCTCCATACAGAAGATGGTTGCCGCTGGTTTGCTGGAGGGTCTCAGGGCCGGATATAGTGACGAAGAGGTAGAGAAGTTTGTCTGCAATGCTTGCCTCAGCGCAAAGGGCCATCGTCTTCCCTTTCCCGATTCGGATTCGCACTCCTCAGAGAGACTCGGCCTTGTACACAGCGATGTGCTTTCCTTCCCCGAGCGGTCCTTGACTGGCAAACGTTACCTGGTCACATTCCTTGACGATTACTCGCGCAAACTCTGGGCCTACGCAATCGGACACAAAAGCGAAGTCTTCGGCATATTCAAAACTTGGCTAGCCGAGGTTGAACTCGAGACGGGTGCGACGCTGAAGGTCCTCCGAACCGACAACGGTGGCGAATACTGTTCGAGAGCGTTCACAGAGTTCTGCAAGACACGAGGCACCCGTCGACAATACTCTATCCCACGCACGCCTCAACAGAACGGTCGTGCAGAGCGGGTCAATCGTTCCATTGTCGAAGGCGTCCTTGCCCTCCTTGTCGACGCCCACCTACCCAAGACATTCTGGGAGGAGGCTGCAGCTTATTTCGTTTACTGCAAGAACCTGTGTCAACACGCGGCCCTGGACAAGGCAACACCAAACTCCGTCTGGCAGGGTGACCACACCACTGCCTCGGCGCTTCACCCGTTCGGCTGTACAGCTTGGCTTACGGTCGCGCCCGAACTTCGCTCCAAACTCGACCCGAAGGCGGTTCGCGTTTTTTTCACCGGCTACGACCTGGCTTCAAAAGCCTTTCGCTTCTACGACACTACAACACAGAAGATTATACTTGGCAGAAATGCCACGTTCCTCGACACTGAATTCCCCGGATTACATGGCGACCCCACTGAGCAAGACGGCGACACGCACTTCGCCAGCGCTCCCACCACCGAATCTCAAACCGTTGTCAAGACATGGACCCCACTAGTAAGGTCGGCGCACATGGACGTCTCATCCCCCCTTGATGATTCTGCCATGAGCGCCGTTGACGTGGCCCCAGGGTACACTGGCGGAACCTTACTTAACTTCACAGATGCCGAATCGTCCTCGTCACCGTCGCCTGCGTCGCCCTCATCACCGTCGTCTGCGCCATCGCCTGCACTTTCACCATCGTCGGCTGCGTCATCGTCACCCTCGGCCTTACCGACCGACTCTGAAGACTCCGCCGATCCCCTCGACCTCCTCGGCTCACAGCCCCAGGTTCGCCTCGATCTACAGGACGTGCACCACCCAGACTTCAGCACGTACCGCGAGCCCGCATCGGCTGAGGAGTCGCCCGACGAACTCGACCTCATTGGGCGCCACTCTCGCGACGAATCTCCGGACGAAATCGATTTCCTCACCCGACACCACCGCGCCTTCATCGCCATCGACGACGACACCTCTGACACAGAGGCAATTCAGCCAGTCAAGTCCATCACGAGCGACCCACAGACCTGGCGCGAGGCGATGTCTAGCGACAAGCGTGAAGTATGGGCCAAAGCCGCCACCCGACGAGTTCACCTCCATGCGCGACGACTTCAAGGTCTTCACCATCGAGGACCGAGCCACGGTGCCCGCGGGTGCGACTATCGTTACATCCAGTTCGTCTGGAAAACGAAACGGAACGCACTCGGCGAAGTCACTGGAACACAAGGCAAGGCTGGTCGCGCAAGGCAATCGGCAACGCGACGGCATCGACTTCAACGAAACGTTCGCACCGGTCGCACGCTTCTCCTCGATACGCTCACTCCTCGCGCTGGCGGCCGCCAACGGCTTGCACGTGCACCAGGCGGACATCGACAAAGCATATCTGCATGGCGACCTTGACCACGACATCTGGATGACGGCACCGCGCGGCTTCGACCTTCCCAGCGACAAGGTGCTTCGCCTGCGACGCTCCATCTACGGGCTCAAACAGGCTGGCCGAATCTGGAATCGACACATCGACGCTTCGCTTCGGGCCCTCGGTTACACGGCGACGGGCACCGACCACTGCGTATACTCTTGGCTCGATGATCGTCAATGTCCACACTACATCGCACTGTACGTCGACGACCTCCTGATGATCAGCCCGGAACTGGCCGAAATCGAACGTGTCATCTCAGGCCTGGACCAACGCTACGGAGTCAAGCGCCTCGGCCCGGCCGAGTATATCCTCGGCATCCAGATCAGGCGGTTCGACGACGGCTCTATCGCCCTATCCCAGGAACGGTACATCATGGACGTGCTCGCTCGGTTCCACTTCGACACCACGACTCGCGGCACTACAGTTCCGATGACTCCCGGCCTTTCGCTCACTGCTATCCCGGGTCAAGGCACCGAACGGATCAGGTCATGGTATCTGCAGGCTATCGGCTCGCTCCTCTACATTTCGCTCGGTACCCGCCCTGACATCGCCTTCGCCGTGTCCTACCTGGCCCGCTTCGCCAACAACCCCGGTCGTCGTCATTGGATTGCGGTCAAGCACATCCTACGCTATCTCCGGGCCACGTATCGCAACGAACTCGTGTATGCTCGCGGCCAGGCTCGCATCACGGGTGTGGTAGGCTACTCCGACGCGAACTGGGGGGCCTGCATCGACACATCGGTGTCCACCATGGGCTACGTCTTCTACATCGCTGGCTCGGCCGTGTCCTGGTCGTCCAAACGCCAGTCTCGAGTTGCCGATTCGACCACCGACGCTGAATACCTCGCCCTCTCGCATGCTGGCAAGGAAGGGATTTACCTCAGTCAGCTGCTCGAAGAGCTCCATGTACAACCTGTTGCACCGGCTCACATCTTTACTGACAACGAAGCCGCTGCTGCAGTTGCTCACGATCCTGTCCGCGTCTCTGGCACTCGGCACATACGCTTGCGTGAGCACTTCGTTCGGGACATGGTGAATCGGGGCGACATCTCTCTCTCGCATGTGGGTACCAGCGACATGGTGGCCGACATCTTCACCAAGGCTCTCGGCCCAAAGGTCTTCTCAACGCACTGCTACGCCCTCGGCCTTCGCACTCGACACCCGCGGCTTGGGTCTGCCTCGCATTCGCGTGGGGGGGGTGTGAAGAGTCCACTCTCAGCTCGACAGGGGCGCCTCGGTCGTTGCGCGCACTTGCTAGCCCGCCCCCGGCGGTGGGGACTTAGACGCGCGCGACTGCCTCAGCGCGCCAGCGCCGGCGGATTCATGCGCGCGCCCGCTAGCCCGCCCCCTTGCGGTGGGGACTTAGGCGCGCCGGCGATTTCACCCGCGGCTGACTTAGGGATGTACATTGTCACGCGCCTGGGACTATCCCAGCGTGGCCCCCCCTTTCTGTTTCTTAGCTTCCTTCTCATCACTTCTGTTCGACTCTCAACCTCTCCTGACAGTAGTGGTGAACGTCTCATAGGTACGCTGAAATAGATCACTTCTGTTCGACTCTCAACCTCTCCTGACAGTAGTGGTGAACGTCTCATAACTCACCGATGCAGTCCTCTCCGCTTTGCGCCGGCATTTCAGCGAGCACCGCGTCTCGGTCGAGTCATCTAGATCTGCATCAATTACTCTTCGACGTCGACTGTGGCTCTGCGTCATTGAAGCGGTCAGTCGAGTCTGAACACGCTCGAGTATGAGACGTTCACCACTACTGTCAGGAGAGGTTGAGAGTCGAACAGAAGTGATCTATTTCAGCGTACCTATGAGACGTTCACCACTACTGTCAGGAGAGGTTGAGAGTCGAACAGAAGTGATGAGAAGGAAGCTAAGAAACAGAAAGGGGGGGCCACGCTGGGATAGTCCCAGGCGCGTGACAATGTACATCCCTAAGTCAGCCGCGGGTGAAATCGCCGGCGCGCCTAAGTCCCCACCGCAAGGGGGCGGGCTAGCGGGCGCGCGCATGAATCCGCCGGCGCTGGCGCGCTGAGGCAGTCGCGCGCGTCTAAGTCCCCACCGCCGGGGGCGGGCTAGCAAGTGCGCGCAACGACCGAGGCGCCCCTGTCGAGCTGAGAGTGGACTCTTCACACCCCCCCCACGCGAATGCGAGGCAGACCCAAGCCGCGGGTGTCGAGTGCGAAGGCCGAGGGCGTAGCAGTGCGTTGAGAAGACCTTTGGGCCGAGAGCCTTGGTGAAGATGTCGGCCACCATGTCGCTGGTACCCACATGCGAGAGAGAGATGTCGCCCCGATTCACCATGTCCCGAACGAAGTGCTCACGCAAGCGTATGTGCCGAGTGCCAGAGACGCGGACAGGATCGTGAGCAACTGCAGCAGCGGCTTCGTTGTCAGTAAAGATGTGAGCCGGTGCAACAGGTTGTACATGGAGCTCTTCGAGCAGCTGACTGAGGTAAATCCCTTCCTTGCCAGCATGCGAGAGGGCGAGGTATTCAGCGTCGGTGGTCGAATCGGCAACTCGAGACTGGCGTTTGGACGACCAGGACACGGCCGAGCCAGCGATGTAGAAGACGTAGCCCATGGTGGACACCGATGTGTCGATGCAGGCCCCCCAGTTCGCGTCGGAGTAGCCTACCACACCCGTGATGCGAGCCTGGCCGCGAGCATACACGAGTTCGTTGCGATACGTGGCCCGGAGATAGCGTAGGATGTGCTTGACCGCAATCCAATGACGACGACCGGGGTTGTTGGCGAAGCGGGCCAGGTAGGACACGGCGAAGGCGATGTCAGGGCGGGTACCGAGCGAAATGTAGAGGAGCGAGCCGATAGCCTGCAGATACCATGACCTGATCCGTTCGGTGCCTTGACCCGGGATAGCAGTGAGCGAAAGGCCGGGAGTCATCGGAACTGTAGTGCCGCGAGTCGTGGTGTCGAAGTGGAACCGAGCGAGCACGTCCATGATGTACCGTTCCTGGGATAGGGCGATAGAGCCGTCGTCGAACCGCCTGATCTGGATGCCGAGGATATACTCGGCCGGGCCGAGGCGCTTGACTCCGTAGCGTTGGTCCAGGCCTGAGATGACACGTTCGATTTCGGCCAGTTCCGGGCTGATCATCAGGAGGTCGTCGACGTACAGTGCGATGTAGTGTGGACATTGACGATCATCGAGCCAAGAGTATACGCAGTGGTCGGTGCCCGTCGCCGTGTAACCGAGGGCCCGAAGCGAAGCGTCGATGTGTCGATTCCAGATTCGGCCAGCCTGTTTGAGCCCGTAGATGGAGCGTCGCAGGCGAAGCACCTTGTCGCTGGGAAGGTCGAAGCCGCGCGGTGCCGTCATCCAGATGTCGTGGTCAAGGTCGCCATGCAGATATGCTTTGTCGATGTCCGCCTGGTGCACGTGCAAGCCGTTGGCGGCCGCCAGCGCGAGGAGTGAGCGTATCGAGGAGAAGCGTGCGACCGGTGCGAACGTTTCGTTGAAGTCGATGCCGTCGCGTTGCCGATTGCCTTGCGCGACCAGCCTTGCCTTGTGTCCAGTGACTTCGCCGAGTGCGTTCCGTTTCGTTTTCCAGACGAACTTGGATGTAACGATAGTCGCACCCGCGGGCACCGTGGCTCGGTCCTCGATGGTGAAGACCTTGAAGTCGTCGCGCATGGAGGTGAACTCGTCGGTGGCGGCTTTGGCCCATACTTCACGCTTGTCGCTAGACATCGCCTCGCGCCAGGTCTGTGGGTCGCTCGTGATGGACTTGACTGGCTGAATTGCCTCTGTGTCAGAGGTGTCGTCGTCGATGGCGATGAAGGCGCGGTGGTGTCGGGTGAGGAAATCGATTTCGTCCGGAGATTCGTCGCGAGAGTGGCGCCCAATGAGGTCGAGTTCGTCGGGCGACTCCTCAGCCGATGCGGGCTCGCGGTACGTGCTGAAGTCTGGGTGGTGCACGTCCTGTAGATCGAGGCGAACCTGGGGCTGTGAGCCGAGGAGGTCGAGGGGATCGGCGGAGTCTTCAGAGTCGGTCGGTAAGGCCGAGGGTGACGATGACGCAGCCGACGATGGTGAAAGTGCAGGCGATGGCGCAGACGACGGTGATGAGGGCGACGCAGGCGACGGTGACGAGGACGATTCGGCATCTGTGAAGTTAAGTAAGGTTCCGCCAGTGTACCCTGGGGCCACGTCAACGGCGCTCATGGCAGAATCATCAAGGGGGATGAGACGTCCATGTGCGCCGACCTTACTAGTGGGGTCCATGTCTTGACAACGGTTTGAGATTCGGTGGTGGGAGCGCTGGCGAAGTGCGTGTCGCCGTCTTGCTCAGTGGGGTCGCCATGTAATCCGGGGAATTCAGTGTCGAGGAACGTGGCATTTCTGCCAAGTATAATCTTCTGTGTTGTAGTGTCGTAGAAGCGAAAGGCTTTTGAAGCCAGGTCGTAGCCGGTGAAAAAAACGCGAACCGCCTTCGGGTCGAGTTTGGAGCGAAGTTCGGGCGCGACCGTAAGCCAAGCTGTACAGCCGAACGGGTGAAGCGCCGAGGCAGTGGTGTGGTCACCCTGCCAGACGGAGTTTGGTGTTGCCTTGTCCAGGGCCGCGTGTTGACACAGGTTCTTGCAGTAAACGAAATAAGCTGCAGCCTCCTCCCAGAATGTCTTGGGTAGGTGGGCGTCGACAAGGAGGGCAAGGACGCCTTCGACAATGGAACGATTGACCCGCTCTGCACGACCGTTCTGTTGAGGCGTGCGTGGGATAGAGTATTGTCGACGGGTGCCTCGTGTCTTGCAGAACTCTGTGAACGCTCTCGAACAGTATTCGCCACCGTTGTCGGTTCGGAGGACCTTCAGCGTCGCACCCGTCTCGAGTTCAACCTCGGCTAGCCAAGTTTTGAATATGCCGAAGACTTCGCTTTTGTGTCCGATTGCGTAGGCCCAGAGTTTGCGCGAGTAATCGTCAAGGAATGTGACCAGGTAACGTTTGCCAGTCAAGGACCGCTCGGGGAAGGAAAGCACATCGCTGTGTACAAGGCCGAGTCTCTCTGAGGAGTGCGAATCCGAATCGGGAAAGGGAAGACGATGGCCCTTTGCGCTGAGGCAAGCATTGCAGACAAACTTCTCTACCTCTTCGTCACTATATCCGGCCCTGAGACCCTCCAGCAAACCAGCGGCAACCATCTTCTGTATGGAGGACGGTGCGAGATGGCCGAGGCAGCGATGGAGAGTCAGCAGGGGCACGGACGACTGTGAGCGAGAAAGGAGAGCAAGGTGCTGACATTTGGAATGATCAGCGTCCAGCAAGTAGAGCCCTTCGTCGAGTCGTGCGCCTTCAGCGATGTCGTTGCCGTCCTTGTCAATGTGGATGCCGTGTTTTGTGAAGGCGACACGGACATCGTCGGTGTCGCAAAGTCGAGAGACCGAGAGAAGATTGACAAACAGGCCCGGAGTGTGCAGCACGCCGGTAAGCGTGATCGGATGACCCGAGGCGGCAATGAAGGCGATGTTTCCCGTTCCGATGGCGTTGATGCCCCCTGCAATACCACCAATCTTCGTAGGAGCGATATGGCGATAGGTCGTGAACAGCGACTTGTCCGAGACCATGTGCGAAGTGGCGCCCGAGTCGACGACAAAAGAGTGGTTGCGAAGCTGGCGACGACGAGCGAGAAGACCGGTGGCGAGACATCCGACATGGTGTTGCGAGTCGACGGTCGAGTCAGCGGTGTCGGGCTTTTTGCCGTCCTCGAGCGCCTTCTTGCAGTCGAGAGACCAGTGATCCTTCTTCTTGCAGGAGCGACAGGGTCCTGGCGGCGGGTGTTGCGCCCTCGTAGGGCACTCCGCGACTCGGTGCGAAGGGCTGCGACAGGCGAGACACTTGAGACGAGTAGAACGTGACGACGACGAGGCAAGAAGGGCCGATTGAGTGCTGGGGATGTTCGTTGACCGAAGTTGGACTCGCATACGGTCGGCAAGCGAATCAATGTCGGGGAGAGTTCGTTGCGTGCGCTGTTCATCGGTGAACGACGCCTTGAAGCTCTCGAGGGACGGGTGGGCGATTGCAAGGAGGAGTGTGGCGAGAACATCATTGATAGTTGTCTTTGTGTCGATGATCTCTTGCGCAACGGCTTTGAAGTCCATGATCCACCCGTCGAATTCGGCAACCGTGCCGGGCATGGGACGGAAACCCCAGAGTCGTGAGAAGAGCTCGAGCGTGCGGGTGGCGTCGTCAGGGGCGTACCGCGATTTCAGCGTCGAGTAGATTGTCGGCGCTGTCAGGTCGGCGGTAGGGATTTTGTCGAGGACTGCCGAGACTTCGGCCGAGTCAATCGAATTCGCAAGGACCTCACGAGCGACGGCGTCGCGAGCGGAGCGTTGCGAAGGTGTCCAGTCGTCGGGTGCGATACCGTCGAGGACGTACGAGCGGATGTCGTCCGCTAGGCACAGGCGAAGTTGGCGTGTCCAGTTCGCGAAGGTCTTCGCACCATCCAAGCGTGCGTGCTTTGGAAAGGCAGTGCGAGTGGTGCCGGACGTCGTGGCGGGTGTGGCAGTGCCGGAAGCGGCAGCGGTGAGACCCGACAGCAGCGATGTAAGTGCGGCGAGCTGTTCGGCGGGAATCGGAGGGTTGGCACCCGTCGCGAGGGGTGGTGTCGTGGTCATGCCAGCTGGTGGCTCGTGGGCTTATAACCTATGAGACGTTCACCACTACTGTCAGGAGAGGTTGAGAGTCGAACAGAAGTGATCTATTTCAGCGTACCTATGAGACGTTCACCACTACTGTCAGGAGAGGTTGAGAGTCGAACAGAAGTGATGAGAAGGAAGCTAAGAAACAGAAAGGGGGGGGCCACGCTGGGATAGTCCCAGGCGCGTGACAATGTACATCCCTAAGTCAGCCGCGGGTGAAATCGCCGGCGCGCCTAAGTCCCCACCGCAAGGGGGCGGGCTAGCGGGCGCGCGCATGAATCCGCCGGCGCTGGCGCGCTGAGGCAGTCGCGCGCGTCTAAGTCCCCACCGCCGGGGGCGGGCTAGCAAGTGCGCGATCAGCGCCCGGTCAGCCCCTTTTAGCCAATGGCCCAAAGCTCACTCCGCGCGCCTAAGTCCGCGCCCGGTTCGCTCCGCGCGCCTAAGTCCTGAGCCGAGCGGAGAGTGGATTCCTCACACCCCCCCCCACGCGAACGCGAGGTAGACTTGAGCCGTGGATGTCGCGTCCGGAGGCCTAGAGCATAGCAATGTGTACCAAAAATCTTGGGCCTAGCGCTTTGGTGAATACGTCCGCAACCATGTCTGCTGTGCCAACGTGTGAGAGAGAGATATCACCTCGATTGACCATGTCACGGACAAAATGCTCGCGGAGGCGAATGTGCCGGGTGCCGGAGGTGCGAACGGGGTCGTGAGCGACGGCGGCCGCGGCCTCGTTGTCGGTGAAGATGTGAGCTGCAGCGATTGGGCAAACGTGGAGCTCGGAGAGGAGTTGGTTAAGGTAGATCGCTTCCTTACCCGCGTGCGACAAGGCCAGGTACTCGGCATCAGTGGTGGAATCCGCTACCCGAGTCTGACGCTTCGACGACCAAGAGACAGCGGCGCCTGCCAAGTAAAATACGTAGCCCATCGTTGAAATGGATGTGTCGACGCAGGCGCCCCAGTTCGCATCAGAATAACCAACCACACCCGTGACTTTTGCTGGGCCGCGGGCATAGAGAAGCTCATCGCGGTACGTGGCGCGAAGGTAGCGAAGGACGTGTTTGACGGCAATCCAATGGCGGCGGCCGGGGTTGTTGGCGAACCGGGACAGGTACGAGACGGCGAAGGCAATGTCGGGTCGAGTGCCAAGGGAGATGTAGAGGAGGGAGCCGATGGCCTGTAGGTACCACGAACGAATGCGCTCCGTTCCCTGACCCGGAATTGCCGTGAGCGAGAGGCCGGGCGTCATCGGCACCGTAGTGCCGCGTGTCGTGGTGTCGAAGTGGAAACGGGCCAGCACGTCCATGATGTAGCGCTCCTGGGATAGAGCAATGGAACCGTCGTCCAGGCGGCGTATTTGGATTCCGAGGATGTACTCCGCGGGGCCGAGTCGTTTGACGCCGTACCGCTGTTCAAGGCCGGAGATGACACGTTCGATCTCGTCGAGGGCTGGACTGACAATGAGGAGGTCGTCGACATACAAGGCGATATAGTGAGGCCGCTGCTGATCGTCAATGCGAGAGTAAATGCAGTGATCAGTGCCTGTTGCCTTGTACCCCAGATTCCTGAGTGATGTGTCAATGTGACGATTCCAGATGCGACCGGCCTGCTTGAGACCGTAGATTGAGCGTCGCAGCCGGAGAACCTTATCGCTCGGGAAGTCGAAACCGCGTGGTGTCGTCATCCAGATATCATGATCGAGCTCGCCGTGGAGGTAAGCCTTGTCGATGTCGGCCTGATGAACGTGGTAGCCATTGGCAGCGGCAAGAGCCAGGAGGCAGCGAATGGAGGAGAAACGGGCGACGGGTGCGAAGGTTTCTGAGAAGTCGATGCCGTCGCGCTGTCGGTTACCCTGCGCTACAAGACGTGCCTTCCGCCCCGTGACTTCACCGCTTGCGTTGCGCTTGGTCTTCCAGACGAATTTGGAGGTGACGATGGTGGCGCCCGGCGGTACAGATGAGCGAGGCTCGATGGTGAACACCTTGAAGTCGTCGCGCATGGCGGTGAACTCGGCGGCGGCGGCCTCAGCCCAGATGTTGTGCTCGTCGCTGGACATTGCTTCGCGCCAGGTCTGGGGGTCGCTAGTGATCGATTTGACGGGCTCGATGGCGTCGAGGGTGGGGTCGTCGTCGTCTGTGGCGATGAAGGCGCGGTGGTGTTGGGTGAGGAAATCGATTTCATCCGGCGATTCATCGCGCGAGTGACGCCCAATGATGTCGAGTTCGTCGGGCGACTCCTCAGCCGATGCGGGCTCACGGTACGTGCTGAAGTCTGGGCGGTGCACGTCCGGTGGGCCAAGGCGAGTCGGGGTCTGTGAGCCGATGAGGTCCAGAGGGTCGGCGGAGTAGTCAGAGTCGGTCGGTGAGACCGAGGGTGACGATGACGCTGCCAACGACGGTGACAGCGCAGGCGACGGTGACAAAGGGTTTGTGGGCGACGGTGACGAGGACGGCTCAGGAGACGGTGACGAGGACGATTCGGTATCTGTGGAATTAAGTAAGGTTCCGCCAGTGTACCCTGGGGCCACGTCAACGGCGCTCATGGCAGAATCATCAAGGGAGGATGAGACGTCCATGTGCGCCGACCTTACTAGTGGGGTCCTCGTCTTGACGGCAGGGGCGGGCGTGTCGGCGGGAACGACGAACTGACGGTCGGTGTCGTCTGCATCGACGGGCGTGGTGACTGGCAGGCCGGGGAAGTCGTCGTCGAGGAAGGTGGCATTGCGACCAAGTACAATCTTGTTGATGGAATGGTCAAAGAAACGGAAAGCTTTGGAGGCGAGGTCGTAACCTGTGAAGATCACGCGCGCGGCCTTGGGGTCGAGCTTGCTGCGAAGGTCCGGGGCGACCGTGAGCCAGGCTGTGCAGCCGAACGGGTGGAGGGCGGTGGCGGTGGTGCGTTGGCCGTTCCAAACGGATTCTGGAGTCTGTTTGGCCAAAGCTGAGTGTGAGCACCTGTTTTTGCAATAAACGAAATACGCAGCCGCTTCATCCCAAAAGGTGGCCGGCAGACGGGCGTCCGCAAGGAGAGCGAGGACGCCCTCGACGATGGAGAGGTTGACACGTTCGGCGCGACCGTTTTGTTGAGGCGTGTAAGGGATAGAGTATTGACGACGAATGCCCTTGGATTTGCAGAACTCCGTGAATGCGTTTGATCGGTACTCCCCGCCATTGTCGGTTCGAAGGATCCTCAACCGCGCGTTCGTCTCTAACTCCACTTCGGCGAGCCAAGTCTGGAAGGTCGGGAAAACATCGCTTTTGTGATCGATCGCATATGCCCAGAGTTTGCGAGAGTGGTCGTCTAGAAACGTGACAAGGTAGCGCTTCCCGGTCAAGGACGGAGTGGGGAACGACAGGACGTCGCTGTGCACGAGGCCAAGTCTCTCGGCGGAATGCGACTCAGAGTCGGGAAAAGGAAGGCGGTGACCTTTGGAACCAAGGCAAGCATTGCAAACAAACTCCTCTACGTCTTTGTCACTGTACCCGGCCCCAAACCCGTCCAGCAAACCTGCAGCAATCATCTTCTGTATAGAGGATGGGGCAAGATGGCCGAGGCAGCGGTGTAGGGTAAGCAGGGGCACGGGAGACTCAGAGCGTGAGAGGAAGGCAAGATGCTGACACTTGGTGTGATCCGCGTCCAAAAGGTAAAGACCGTCGTTGACCCTGGTACCGTGAGCAATGGCCCGGCCGTCCTTGGCGATGTCGATGCCGTCGCTGGTGAAGGCGAGACGAACGCGGTCGGTGTGTCGCAGAGGCGAGAGACAGAGAGGAGGTTGACGTGTAGGCCAGGCGTGTGAAGAACACCACGGAGCGTGATCGGGTGTCCAGTCTTGGCGACGAATGCCACGTCCCCCATGCCGATAGCCGTGATGCCGCCCGCGATGCCGCCGATCTTGGTGTGTGCCGTCTGACGAAAGTCGTGAATAGAGATCGGTCGGCGACCATGTCGTGGCACCCGAATCGACTACAAAGGCGTCAGTTGGGAGTTGGCGACGAGCGAAGAGGCAGGAGGCGAAATAGCCGACGTTCGGTTGCGAGGCCGCGGAGGAAGACGTGTCGTCCTGGGTGTCGTCGCTGCTACGTGCCTGTTCACCCCGGTTCTTGCAGTCGAGTGCCCAGTGACCTTTCTTGTGGCATCGGCGGCAGGGGCCGGTGGGCGGGTGCTTCGCACGTGAAGTGCAGTCGCGCAGGCGGTGACCGGGAGCGCGGCAGGCGGGGCAGGGGGAGCTGGTGGCAAGCATGGCCGAATGCGAGGTCGAGAGTCCTGCCGAACGAAGCTGGATGCGAATGCGGTCCGTAAGCGTCGTGAGTTCGGGAAGGTCGCGTCGGTTTCGCTGCTCGTCCGTGAACGTGAGTCGGAAGCTGTCGAGGCAAGACGGGACCATGGCGAGCACGTGGGTGGTGTGAAGAGTCCAC